GAAAATATTGGAAATTTGGAGAAGTCATAACTACAGTAATTTCCTGTTACATCACAGTGACACGTTTCAATGTTGTTCAGATCAAAGAGAAGCTGCTGCAGCTGACGGACAAGAGGAAGGAGATGATTGACAAGTGGGAAGATCGATGGGAGTGGCTACGACTCAGTAAGACATGATGAGTTTTCAATTAACGTTTTACTTTGTTCAGGAGGTCGTGACCTTCAGGAGGTCGTGACCTTCAGGAGGTCGTGACCTTCAGGAGGTCGTGACCTTCAGTTGCAGCAGTGATGTGAACATCAGGTGTATTTTACACTGGGTGTGAGGTCGTCCTGTGTTCGGGTCAATGCGGCGCTGCTGCTATCAGATGACTCGTCCAGTCATCTGATAGCAGCCTGGTGCTTGTATAACGGTGCTTGTATAACACCCCCCCCCCCCCCCCAGTCCTGGAGGTGCACCAGTTCTCCCGTGACGCTGGCGTCGCCGAGGCGTGGCTGCTGGGTCAGGAGCCGTACCTGTCCAGCAGGGAGATGGGACAGAGCGTGGACGAGGTGGAGAAACTCATCAAACGTCACGAAGCCTTCGAGAAGTCGGCCGCCACCTGGGAGGAACGTTTCTCGGCTCTTGAGCGACTGACGACGGTGAGCGGAGAATCAATGATGTGATGACGTCGAAAAAATGTACTTTCTGTTTCTCATCAACAATTTTTTTACCTTCGACAAGGTTTTTTATTCAGATTCAGAAATGTTGACATAGTCTTTAGTTTCTACTCTTCAGGTGAGGACGTCTCATTAAGCTGATTAAATAATAATACAATTATTATTATAACCTGTAATAATAAATATAATATATATGACTAAATACAATATATGAATAATTTAAAGTCCAGACCTGGCAGCTGATTGGTTGTGGATGGTTTCCTGTCATTTCTTTGTCACCAACTTTGTCCAACATTCACTTTTGTTTTCAGGACATGAAAATATAAAATGTGGATTTTGTCGTTAGGTGGTTGGACGTTCTGAACGTCATGTGACAGGTGTGGTTCCCTCCAGCCAATCACAGATGTGCATGTGTTTCAGTTGGAGCTGTTGGAGGTGCGGCGGCAGCAGGAGGAGGAGGAGCAGAGGAGGAAGCCGCCGTCTCCAGAGCCGCCGCTGATTCAACACGACGAGTCACAGCAGCAGAGGTGAACACTGTGGAAATGACGAGCAGAGCTCCGCTGCGATTGGTCGCTTTAAATAAAACTGTGCTTCTCTTTGTCCCTGCAGCGGCGTCATCGTTCAGAACGGGCTGACGTCCGACCACGACTCTCCTCGGGTCAGTCTCCATCTGTCAATCAATCACTGTCATGATGATGTCACTCAGATAATGTAGTGTGGACGATCTTTCATTGGCTTCTGTAGTTTTGCAGATTTGAAGAAATATTGAAAAGTGTGTTTATGTATTTATTTGTATTTATTAATGTAAAATTACGATTGTAAATAATGTACTGTTAATGAAAATGTCGTTATTCATTGTTGACCTCGTTAAATCTTTCTCTGCGGCTCAGGACGGCGTGGACGGTGCAGATCTGGTGAACGGCGTGGCAGAGCGGAGCTCCAAGGAGCCGAGTCCGACCCCGTCCCCGACCTCCGGCAGGAAGAGTAAGACGAGCCTGTCGTCAACGCTGCCGTCCAAGAACCAGGAGACTCCGCCCTCACAGCTGGAGGGGCTCCTGCACCGCAAACACGAGTGGGAGGGCCACAACAAGAAGGCATCCAACAGGTAAACACAAAGATCCTCCTCCACAGCCGATGTCTCACTCCTCTGTGATCGACCTGCGACCTCACTGCTCTCTGATTGGCAGGTCGTGGCACAACGTCTACTGTGTCATCAACAACCAGGACATGGGCTTCTACAAGGACACCAAGGCGGTGGCTCAGGGCGTCCCGTATCACAACGAGGTTCCCATCAGCCTGAAGGAGGCGACGTGTGACGTGGCCTCAGACTACAAGAAGAAGAAACATGTCTTCAAACTCAGGTGATGAGGCGGCCATCTTGTTTTCTCACTCAGCCGATTAAAGATGGAGGATGTTTCAGACACATGCGTGATCTTAACTTCCTGTTTTACGACAGATTAATAAAAACTGAGCTGTGATAAGAAGCTTCATCTTGTCTTCTTCTTCTTCTCAGAGTGAACGATGGAAACGAGTTTCTGTTTCAAGCCAAAGATGAAGTGAGTTGAATTTTCTTCATTTGATGAAAAATATTCTTGGTGACGTTTTAAATAGTTTTCTTTTAAAACGTTGCTCACTGACCTGTCGCTTCTTACAGGAGGAGATGAGCACCTGGATCCAGGCCATCCTGAACGCCAGCGCTGCCGACCGCACCAGCGTTCAAGGCAGCCACCCCGGGACGCCGGCGTCTGGGCGTGCTCAGACGCTGCCGGCCGCCGTCACACTCACCAACGAGTCGAGTCCCGGGAAGAGAGAGAAGGACAAAGAAAAGGAGAAAGAGAAACGTTTCAGTCTGTTTAGCAAGAAGAAGCAGTAGAAGAAGAAACGACAGCACTTTGGTGAAACTCCTTTGATCTGAACTCGCGCTCTCACGCTTGTCGTTTTTCGCTTCTTTAAAAATAATTCTCATCTGCATCTGGAAACATAAAGAACTGGAATCTGCTTCAGAGCGCGTTTTCACGTCTTTCAGCTTCAGAGTTTGTTGGTTCAGAAAGTTCAAGCGAGGATTTAAAGTTTCACCAAAGTGCAACTTTTTTTGTTTGTTTATTTTCAGTTTAGTTTTTTTTTTTCATGATTTTAGGTAAAGATTTCCGTTGTGAGGTCATTTGTGATGTCACTTAGGTCAGACCGAGAGCGAGTGAGTTCAACGCGTGATGTGACGGCGGTTCATCGTTACAGGTTTTCTAAACTGAAAGCTCTTTGTCGATGACAAACTCTTGCTCTATTTGTTTGTATGGCGACGATGAACTGCTGTGACATCACAACATCAAACAAGGGCGTTACCACGGCTACCACTCTCGCTCTGTCTCTGTGCCATCATCAGGGACCACGCCCATATTTCTGTGTTGTGGTTTTTTTTTTTTTTTTCAAAGTTTTCTTATTTTTGTACTTTTGAAACAGGACTTCGTTATTTCCTCAATTTTGTGAGGTGTCGTAAAGACAACCTACATTCTTCCTTTGCCAGTGAGAAATTGGACCAAGAGTGCATTTCATTTTTATTCTTTTTTGTTTTCCGTCACGCTGTCACCATTTTCTGTTTGTCTTAAAAACAGCCAATCGCCTTCGAGGAGGTGTGTGATGTAGACACTTGCATGCTTCGTCATTCTCAGAGCGTCGCCTGAAAAACTCACTCCAAACTAAAATATGTTGTTTTTAGAATCTTTTTCTTTGGTTTCGATGTTTCTGATAATGAAGATCAACATGTATAATAAAAACTAACGCTTCGATGTTTCATGGTCAACGTACGTGTTGTACTGCGGACAGTAGGGGGCGGTACAGCGGTGGAGAAGTCGGTGGTTTGCTTGTAGCTGCGTTCAGATTCTCTGCTCTTTGATACTCATGTTGCTCTGTCACTGTCTATCGTATCGAACATGTATGGAAGTTAGCGCCATCTTACTGCACAATCAGAAACTACATGTATATGAATGAAGAAGCTGTTTCGATATTTAAACAGACGTTAGAACATTAAAGCTTTTCTCATGTATGAAACTGCACCTGTAACTTTAAAGCTCTCTCTCTCTCTTTCTCTCTCTCTCTCTGTGCGATGTCATTAAAGCCTTGAAACTTTACACACCAGCTGTTTGTCCTCCTGCGTCTGATTTAACTGAGGGGCCTGCAGGGGCCCGACACACCTGCAGGGGGCGACACACACACCTGCAGGGCCCGACACACACACCTGCAGGGGCCCGACACACACACCTGCAGGGCCAGACACACACACCTGCAGGGGCCCGACACACCTGCAGGGGCCCGACACACACACCTGCAGGGGCCCGACACACCTGCAGGGGCCCGACACACCTGCA